CGCCCCCTCGCCGCCCCCCCGCCAAAAGATGCCCCCCCCAGCCCCGCCGATCCCCACTCACCCCCTCAGCGATTTTCCTTTTCTTTTTTCTTCTTTTTCTAATTCAAGATGCCCCTGGCCTCCTTTTCTACTTACAGAACTATTTATCTTTAAAAAAGATTGCTCAGGGTGGCCTGTCTCTCCCATTTAAGCAAGGGACAATGTTTCTTGCGAACTTCACAACTCTCTGCTTTGCTCTCCTGGCTGCCAGGAAAGAAACCAGCCCAAAGAGATGGCAGGGATAGAACTGCCCGGAGCAGGGGCATGGACTTGCTCGTCCATGGTGCTATCATTTAGTTTGAAGAGAATTTCTAGAGGACCTGCTGCTGCTCTGAACTTCTCAAGGCACTGAGCAGCCGGATCTGAAGTGGAACAGCAAGGGCTCTTATAAACACATTAGAGAAAAGCCCTTGAACACTTCCCATTCTTGTGTGCAGAGACAGAGATGAGTGCCTGAGTGAGCAACTCCTTCATTCCTGGCTGTCCACACACACAGCAAAACGAGAAGCAGCAGCAAATGGCTAATATTCCCCTGCACCCCAAAGGGCAGGCAGGCAAAGCTGTCCCTGTTACACACGTGCTGTTAGAACAAGAACAAGACCACGGGCACCATTCTCAGCTAAGCAGGTATCAGCAAAGAACCTGCTGGAGATGTACAGCTCAGCAATCAAGTGTATACAATAGCTCATAGCTGAGAGATTTTAAAAATAGCTCATTTTGAACTGATTTGTGAGTTTGTAGACCCAGATCTTGCCTTCCAACTGCAAAATAGCAAAATACATTTGATAGGATTCTATTTAGGATTGGATTTATTATCCTGTTCAGAAATCTGTATAATCCTAAGGTAATGATTTATGGACTTTGCTTCTCTGTGCAAATGTCAATACCACTTTCTAGAAGAGGGCATCTCTGTAGACAGCCCATTTGATGGCGATTTTCTTACTGTGAAGTTAAGTACTTAGAAACTTGGGGACATTCCAATAACTCACCAGTGCAAGCGAAGAGCATGGAGAAAAGCAGACAAGCCCTCCATGACCAGAAGAATTGCTACTGTCAGGGTAGCAAAGGCAGCAAATATGAAGAAGAGGCCAAAGCCTCCACCCAGGCTCCTCACGCTGAGGCCCACGTGGATCACCATGGTCCACAGCACCTCCGAGAGCTCTGTGAAGAGAAAAGGAAGGAGATGGCACATTTCGGAGCATTCAAACAGAAAGGGCTACACTTCACTTACAAAGCAAGAACTAATCAGTTAAATTAGAACTAATCAGTCCTTGCTCAGCAGCCTTTTGCTTTATTCAGTGCTTTGAACTCCATCTATCCCCTCTAGATGCAGGTGACCTTTAGGAGAGCACTGTGTTACTAGACACTCGAGTTTAGACCCAATTACCAGTAGCTAATGCACACACACCTCCGTCCTGCTGCAGGACCCTACAGAGGGGGACAGTACCTGCATTACTGCCTTCCCCAAACCCCTTTGCCCAGGTTCATCTGTGACACGGATCCAAATTTCCACTTGGACGAATACTCACGTGCGTGGGCTAAGCTGAGGGCCCAGAGCCTCAAGTAGGATGCAGTGTTTGAAATGCACCCCAGGCAGTATTCGATGGTGTGGATAGCCTGGTATACCACAGTATCAGCAAAGTCAAACTGAAAAAAGAACACAGAAAATAACGTTGCAGCAAGTGCTGTCCAACTTGGGAATGGGCATACTATGACCTAGGGCATTATGTTTGAACTCAGGCACTGATACCGCCTTCTCCTGGTTCTCTCAACTCTTATCGTTTATTTTTGCCAATTTTATATATGTCTTGCTAGGTTTTGTAGAATGATTGTTCACTGCTACACCTTAAATATTGTTGTCACATTCTATCGTATTAAAGTAAAATAGTTTTAAAAATCAGCATGAACTTTGCCAGGAAAAGACTTTTCAGCAACAAGATGGCATTTATATGAATTGATTGGTAAACTGTATGTATTTCTACAAAAAAAAAAAAAAAGTATTATTACAAATATTGCTTTTCTTTATACAAATAACAATAAAGCCCAAGTCAATACTATCTATGTAGCTTTGCTATATGATCCACAAGAGCATCTTACAAGATAGAAAATTGCTCTTTTTGAGAGCAATAATAATGCACAAAGTGATCCTGAAAAAGTCACATCTGTGCTCCTTTCATTGGCAAAGTCTCTGCACATTGGTAATTTTTTTAAATAAATGAAAAGAACTCACAAGGAAGTTAGTCATGTAGGATGGTTGCTTATGCTGCAGTTTGGGAAGACAGTCCCTACATTTTGGATTTAATCTATGCTGCAGAAACTGCTCATATTTAAGAGAACATCAAATTTTAAAGACACCAAGTGATTAATTGTTAAAAGTTCTAGATATAAACAACAGGCTATTTATTTTCTTATTTCTTCCCTGGTATATCCAGGGCAATAAACATTTAAAACGAGTTAAATCAGCTGTCAGAAGTTCTTCAACAGAGCCTGCCTCAGTCGATACAGCACACAGCAAATGGACAGTGCTAAATATTTAAGCTATGGCCATTTACAGCTACTTGCAGCTGCTGGAGGATGTTACTGCTTACACCAGGGAGCCGGAGAATGAGCAGGTTTGCACTGGCACACGACAGCTTTATGCATTTTTCATGTTTATCAGGTCTAGACCTGATAAATACAGGTATATAATCTATAAGCAGTTTATAGTTGTCAAGAATTACCAATGGCACAACATAAGGCAAATGAGACTTGCTTCCTTAAAAGTTTAGGAGCATAAACTTTTCCGTTTCAGACCTCTGAATTAGCAGCTTTCCAGGAAAAGTAAGGAAGGTCTGTGGTCAGGGATGGTAAGACAAACAAGCTAACAGATGAAGTAATTAAAGGTCTGTTAATGGAGGTAGCGTTGTATGAAGAATTAAAAATGGCCTGTAACATGTAAATAACTAATCTTTTGGAAAACAAGATGTCATGACGTAACATGTTTAGTTCATCATGTGGTTTACATCAACAGGAGACATTCCATATAGACATGAATGCAAAGCTGGCTGTAGTCTTACCACCTCATCCTCTGTAGGCTTGAAAACATAAGTTTACATTTAGTGCAGGGTCTCAATCACATCATTAATCATGAACACATTCAAGCATTTCCTCCTGAACATGACACAATACAGCAGTAACACATCTCACACTGCAGAGACAACGTAATGCTGAGGAGCTGTTCGAGGCATCACAACACTCCCAGAGAAGCAAGATTAACTCCTTTTTCTTCTCTACCAGCAGTAAAGCAAAGCAGTTATTACCCTTAACAGTCAAAATGAACGAGTAAACAAGATTTTACTGCTCCAGAAATACAACACTTGGGTTTTGGCTAACATTGGAAAAACAAATGAGTAGCACAAATGCACTGTGCTTCAGCCAGAGCCACGAATAAGCCACCTGGGAATACTGGGCAATTCCTGCCGTGCAGCCTATTCGGTGGTGGTTCTGTGCAACGAGGGCAGACACACTGTGCTGCGTGTTTCTTTATTCCCAAATTATACTGTGTCTTTTTTTAATTTTAATCTCTGAAGACCTAGGAATGCCCAGAACATAGTCTGCAGTACTTCACTGCTATGAAAATATTCCTATTCAGTTTTAAGAAGTTGGAGATCAGGAGAGAGAGGCAAAAATCCAGCACCTTCTGCCACCAAGTGCACTGGCCTGAGCCAGAGGACGATCAGGTGCTTACCTCTTCCCCTTCCTCAGAATGGGTAGATAACTGGTCATGTTGAATGATCTCAGCATCCTCCTCAGTTGGTCCATTGCCCACCCGGATCCCACCAAAGTTGTGTGTTCCCTAATACATGCAGAAAAAGAAAGAGCAAAGTGTTGTTAATCGTTTACTGCAATAGCAGAGGTTATGACCCCCAAAGCTGCAGCAGCTTACAGAAGAAAAAAAATATTAAATATTAAGGCCCAGGTGAAAACAGCTGTACAAATCTCTTTCCCAGCTTGAATGGGAAAAGAGGCTCATTCCTGCTAGAGCTGGGAAAAAAAAAAAAAAAAGACTGCCAGAATGAACATTCTACATTGCAGTTCAATTGCAACCCTGAGTGAAAGCCACACATCTCACAATGACAAATGTTGGAACTGATGCGCAACAAACCAACGTTTTGCCCAGCAGCTGTTGGACAAGCACTTAGGAAGGACTGAAACACCACTGCTGTTTCCAATGAAACAAGTCACAGAGAGGCAACTCAAAGCAGAACACACTGACCCTGGGGTACAGACACGCTTGCTCCCCCCATCAGTGGGTCAGGCACACTGACACCACGCGTGGAAAATCAGACTCTCCCTTAGCCAGAAATTTGGCATTGTGCAAACAGTTCCTTTTATAGACATTTGTTCTGACATTCAACAGCTGAGGCAGCCTCAACTCTATTACACTTTTAATAGGAAAGAATAATCCACAAACCATGTTGAAACTTTGCTTCTAATGTTTTCTTCTAATGTACTCAAGAGTACCTCACTTGGCAACTGCAATCACTGCATAATTGCATCTGATTTATGGCAGGCTTCCTCCTCCATACGGTCTTGCCACTACCAAGAAAGGACACACAACCTTTCATCATCTGACAGCGTCTTCATGCAGAGCTTTTAGGCCTCGTAAACACACGCTGCACAATAGAGGCCTGATTTGCACATCTCTGTTTTTGGAACTCTAACCAGCAAGCAGCTATGTGCATGGTACGGCAGGATCTCCGCTTCCTTCCAGATGTCCCAAAGACAAGAAGTGCTCGTGACGGATCTGAGGCGCTATAAAACCAGAACCTTTGAGTGTGACCCACCTAGAGGGTAAGCTGAAATGCCATGAGTGGGAAAAAAGGCCTTGCACACTACTTTAGTATCTGTGCTCATCACCCGTGGCATGGAATGTGAACAGGCTAACTCCAAACATTAAGGCTTCATAAATTTAGGGATTATTGGCAATTTAAGGGGTTTTAAGATTCTGCAACTTGACTTTCACATCTTGTAGCTCTGGTATACCAACTTTCACCCTAAAGGTGTAGTTGTCACTCACTCACAAAATTCAGATATATTCCATACTCTTGATAATTAGGTATATAAAGCCAACTCCCATCTTTAAATCTATCACGTGATTTTTAAATCCACTCACTGTTGCAGCCGCTGCTGCCTCTAGTGCCTGCTCGCTCGGGACTGTGCTGACTTGGGCCTCCACGGGTTGCCCTTCCTGATAGTGAATGGAAGAAAAAAAGGGGAGGAGAAAGAAAACAAAAAGAGAAAGGGAGACGAATGGAGGGGACATGGGAGGATGAAAGATGGTCAGAGAAGGGAGAGGGATTGTCTTTAACTGAACTGTTCTTTGACTCACTTAGCATCCTAAAAGCTGTCTGCCATACATGCAGGGAGAATTTTCAAGTATCCTCAGTGCACGTGTGCCAGGTACCTGTATCTTATATAAAGATATTTTACAGTACAGTTGAAAACCTAGAGAATATCCCAAGGGATAACCTCTCATATAAGGACTGCACAAGTTTGAACATTTTGTTTCTTACAAACACATCCAAACTGTTCTAACAGATAGCTGATAAATTTATCAGCCAATTAAACTTACATTTCTGCTTTCACATTGTCATCCCAGCAAAGGCACAGAAATGAATCTAGTAACCAGAAAGACCCTGTTCTTTAGCCAGATGACAATGCCCAAGCCAGATATATTGTATTTATCATTATCATTATGCAGGTTTTTCTAGAGCAGATTTCATGCTGGATCCAGATCTGAGAAGCAGGTAGGCAACACTTTATCTCCTATAAAACCCACTTGCCTTTATGCCCAGGGATGTGCAAAAGGTTTTACAGGTCACAATACAGTGTGAGCCTATATATCCAAGAACGGGACAAAGAGCATAGCTTTTCAGCCATAATTAGTGTTCACATTCAAAATATAAGATGCAGTGACCCACCAAGTGCTTTCTCCTTAAATACTGATGGCGAAGGACCAGGGGTTTAGCTACCAGCATCCACGGCACACACAGTAACGCCACCACCACGAGGAAACACTGCAGCCCTTTCTGTAAAAGAAAGAAAAGAAACAGTCTTGGATGATTTAGTGACAGGCTGTGTTTAAAAAAAGAGCTTGCAAGAGGTCTTATGCAAGTAGCACTGAATGACTGAATTCCCAGAGCATGCAGATGCTTCACAATATTTCTCTCTTTTCCCGGAGCACTGACATGCACTGAACTTGATGCCTGTTTGCAGCTGTCCCCTCTGACTGCACGCTGCAAGTAATGCTTGTTTAAAGGAGGGAAAACCCAAACCATTCTGCAGGGAATCACAATTCGGCAGATGTCCAGCAGGCTGTGAGGAGATGGCATTAATATCTCAGCTGCACTCAGAGGCACCACATTGTAGGTAAGGATGCAATACAAGATTCCTAATCATATTCTACTATTAAACTAGATTCAAATGTTCTGGAGCTACAGGTGACATATTCAGCTGATACAAATTTCCTCTATAAGAATTCTTCCTTCCATCTTCAACATTAAACAGTATCCTGCTTTGAAAGTGATGCCATGTTTTCCTCTATCACAAGGAAAAATTGTTTCATCTTCATTTTACAGTCATTATAAGGTCAAAGCTAATCCTATTATTCCAGTGAGAACACATACCTGCCCTTTATAAAGCATCTTGATGCTGGGATCACTATAGGAGAACAGAAACATGTTGATAAAATGTATTAAAAGGCTTGGTGCATCCCTCGATGTGCGGGCATCATAGGCTGTCCATTTGTAGAAAATGAGAATAACAAGGTATCCAAATAGTGATGACATGAAAATAATTTCTGGAATAAATCCAAGGTAGATATTCAATGGCTTCTTGAAGTATCTGCAGAAGAAAATGGCGTTTAAAATTACCTTTGGTTAGCATGAGGCAGATGTAATGAAAATAAACTTTCAATGGCTGTAAGAAAAGTCTCAGGAACAAAACTACAGAAGCTAAGCATTTCAGTAATAGCCAGGACTAAAATCTGGTAACTGAATGACAAGAATTATTATACATATGCAAACAGAGAGAAAAAAAAAATTGTTACGCTCTTTGACAAAAAGCTCAAAGTAGTTTCCAACAGACTCTTTCTTCTTGAACTAAGATACGCAGTCCACCCACAGGAGCACCAATGTCTGCACTCCCACAGAAAATTATAGCAAAGAACTTACATGTGGTTGAGAAGACTCAAGGTGACACCAAAGAGCATGTGGATAATGCCAAGAATCACAGACATTTTCATCTTAAAGGAATTGAGGAAGGCCAGCTTATTGCTGGCAATATTCCAAATCTGTGAAAAAAGAACACCGAATCAGTCAAACACCAAGCAAAAGGAAGACGGAGGTGAGTTGAGAGCAGTCTCTTTCAAAGATGTATTTGTCTCACACACACATCTCTTTGGGGAAAAAAACATCAATTTTTTAAAGATAGCAATACTGTCAACCACCAATCCCACCACCAAAGCAAGGTTTAAACTTCCAAACTTTTAAGTTAGGTAAAAGTTGCAGGAAAAAATGTCAACTGGCCTGTAAACTCGACAAGAATATTATGGTTACTCATTTAAATGAGCATTTAAATGTAGTTCTAATTTTTGCACTAGCTCTTTGATGCAGATCACATGCATTTTGTATCATACATTACAAGAATAAAGTGTTATTAAACACTTATGTGTCTTTGCACACAATTAAATACAAGAATGTGTCATTAAACAGATAGAAAATAATAAGATTACTTGGAAATTTACGTTTTCAAGACTGACTAAAGAGATGCAACTTTTAAATTTATCCAAGGTAAAATGGTGACTGTGTAAAGTGTCTTGAAAGTCTCTGTCAGACTTTATTAAAATGCTGCAGGTTAGAAAGAATGAACAGGAAGCCTTGTATGATTCTGAGAGCAAGTTTCTTTATCCTCAGCCTGGTACCTCAGCAGAAGCTGGCTTCATTTTATCATTCATGAGCATATCCAACACCAGATATACTGAGTCTGCCAAAGGGATGGAAGGGGGGTGGAATTCTTTCATATTGAAGTGGGTAAGTACTTGTCTGTTTGTTGAGAGGACACTCTTAAGAGACAAGAGAGATAGGAAGAGCTCTTACTGGGTCAATGCCAAAGGGATAGGGCCCACCAAACACCCCTGGAACAGCAGGGTCCAGCTGGAGCAGAGGGGCAGTCTCAAGAAGTTCCTCACTGTTAGGGAATAAATAGGTTATTCAAACATTAACACAAGCAATTTTTACCTCTTTCTTGTAGAGCTACCAGCATCCCTCTCTTGTGAGGGCAGGGAGCATCTCAAATTTAGAAAGCTTTAAGCTTCCTGTGTGGCTGTAGGGTTTTTCTAAATGAATAAGCAACCTGTCCAACCCAATATACAGTGTCAAAAGGAAAAAAAGAAAAAAAAATGCAGTGGTCAGGAATTTTGCTACATCTGTGAGGAGAAGGGTGCTAAATGGCAATTTCAATGTTTCTCTGAAAACAAGCTGGTTAGAAACTTGATATCTATCAGACTGGCACCCATCTTCTAACTCTAATTGAGGCTGAATTCAAAAGTTTTTTTTTGTTTTGTTTTTTCCTGAGCTGTGAGGAAGACGTGGAAAGACAGGTTGCTCTTATCAGCGTCACTCTTTATCTAGATATCAACTATTTACTCACGTCCAATTGCTTGCGAACATCGGTCGGACACTCCACGACGAACCAAACATGTTGAGAGACTTGGAGAAGCAGTCGTTGTAGATGAGGCCCGTGTAAGTGGAGAACAGTCCCATTAGCAGAATGATGTACCGGCCACTAAAAACAGTGTTGAACATCTAGCAGGAAAAAAATAACCTCCGTGAGGACAAGATCACTCAGAAAGATGAAGCAGTCAAATCAATTCAAGATAACCAACATGAACAGGATGGAATGGGCTAAAAGCGTGAGGTCTCTGCTTCCCCGTGGCCGGGGCTACATGTAGCATTGCAAGAACAGAACCTGAATACAGAGCATGAACAGTGAGTGTGGCTTTGTGCAGAAAAACTGGGTTTGCTTGAACAGGAGACACTCTGTTCCCCACCTTGCTGCAATCCCCCTGACAGGAGCATGAGTTTGGAAGTGGGCAGAGCTCCAGCTCTCTCAGTGTATCTTAACCCTGTTTTACCTCCTGTCAGCCTAAGCTCTGCACAAGTGAGACTCACCTAGATCAGCAAATGGGAAGAATCTTTGGAGAAAGATTTTATAATATATATAAATTGATTAGGGGTTATACACTGGCAGAACCCTTTTATGGTCTAAGCACATCTGGGCGGATAGGTAAATTAAACAACAAACTACCTCGAGCAATTTCCCTCAAAGGTCTTTGAAGGGAAACCAAAAGAAGCCACTATTGTTATGAAATGATAATGCTCAGTCTGTGACAGACTGGGTGCTTCACAAATTCCAAATGCAGAGAGCTTTGGCATTCTCACTTTAAAAAAAGGGAAGGTGTGAGCAACTCTGCTTTAAATGCAAAGCAGTGTGTGACTTGTCTCCTTACCTCATTGTCACTTTTCTGTGACAGAATACGACTTTCCCTAAATACCATCCAGATAGCAAACAGGGTCATCAGGATTCCATGGCCGAAGTCTCCAAACATCACAGCAAACAGAAATGGGAACGTAATGATTGTGTATGGTGCTGTAAGAAAACACAACACTCCTAATGTACTGTATTTGAATAGTGAAGATTTACTTAAAAAAAACTAAGAAAAACAGCCAGTGGCAAAAGGATTGAAAAGACACAGAGCTCATTTATCTCAAAGTAGCTGTTAAACAGTTCTCTGAAAATGAGTAAGTAGAACTTTGCTTCAAGCCCGTGAGAAAGAAAGGTGCTAAAGAAAATTTCATATGGGACAGACAATAAGGAGAAATGCCATGGCAAAAGAAGGACGACTTGTACTTTTCTGAGTATGAATTTACCTGGATTTATCTCACGGTACGTTCCAATGCCATAAGCATCCACTATATTTTGAAAGCCAGAAGTAAACTTGTTAGTTTTGTTATATGTTGGTGGGGTCTGATTGGTTTGCATCCTGTTTAAAATAGATGGGACAGTAGATCCGCTGTGTTCCTGTTTACAGAAAAGCAGGATTAGAAAATCCACCCTGTGAGCAGAGGAGGACAGAATAAAAATTTACTTTCTCATTAACATTTGGAAATTTGGGCACTCAATTTACTACCTATTGGACTAAAGAAGTAACTTGATAATCTCTTGGATAGCTCCCTTTAATGATTTCTACTATACATCCAAACAGCAGAACTAAGTTAGTGAATTGAACAGCTTACCTAAATTAGTGACAGGTACCAAAGTACTCAAATGCAGAAAAATTTCTTACTGGTAAATCATTTTCATGAACTTGGAGGTTTGCTCAAGTTATTTACAACAAAGTAAGACACAGCAACAGATCTACAGGCCAGGATTCTTCACACTACACAGAGGATGCTTTAGGAGAACTGACTCATCAACAGCCCAAAGGGATGTTTTTCAGAAACTCACAGTTGGGAAAAATCAATGAACCCATGTTGTGTTGGCTGACAGTTGCTATCTGCTTGAGCAGAGCAGGCAGGAGCAGTTAGCACAATTACTCACAGTGCCTCTTCTGAGAGCAAACTGGATAGAGTCAAGGTCAGCAACGGGACACCACACTTCAGCAATCAGGCACTTCTGAGTCACATCAATGTTGCACAGATTCAGGGTATGGTAGATGGCCTTCATTTTGCGCACTTTGATGAACCAGACACGGATATTTTTGGCAGCTGCTTGCAGAACCCTTTGGCGATGATCTTCCGTTTGGTTCAGCACCTTTCATAGAGAGGTGGGACAAAGATCAAACTAGGTCACTGGCGAAAATTTGCAGCATGCAACACTGCACAATGAGGCAGTGCTGACCAACATGACACGTATTGCCCTGAGGATGGATGAAGGAACCCTCTTCCCTCACCACGTGCACGGAACTGCCACATATTTGCAATATATACTTAACTCTCCATATTACTTATTCTGTCAGAACAATTTAAGGCTTCTTTCCAGATATACTTTTTGACTACTGTCCTCCTCCAACTCCAAGCTCAGTGGATATTTCAAATGACCTCTGTTCAGAGGTCAGACAACTCCTTTTTATCCACCCACGTTAAAAGGCAGAGTGCTACAAATGAGGTGGACATTGCCTTAAATGAACACAGAAAGATTACATTAAAAGATGTTACTAAAGAGAAAGGAAGAAAGTGCTTTTATTGTTGAGGTAGATTTCCAACTGGAATGTATCTAAACTCAGGCCAAGTCAGGTCCCCAGGCTGGAAAGTCTGAGACTCGAGAGGAAGTGAGAACATAGGGTAGAGCTATCAGGCAGTTTTGAGTTCTACTAGTCAACGTGCTTCTGCATTCTTGCCTCCTTTGTCATTACTAAACAATTGCACTGCACAACTTCCAGCTTGAGACAGCATCTGTATAAAATAAACAGTTTGGGTTGAACCTTTTGTTATTCTCCTTTTAGCTTCTGAACCGTTTTCTGACTGGCTCAATCCTTTCAGACAGCTTTTCTGCATCATGACTTACTGCCTTTCCTTGAAGCAAGTATCAAATGTAGCAGAGCTGGTACCCAGTAGTTTTGTGTGCTTATTACGTTTTACCAACACTCAGGCTGCTGCACAAAGATTAGCTGTAAAGCAGAAACTCTTCAGGACAGCGCAACGTGAAAATACAGAAACAGGCAGGAAAAGAAAAACAAACAAACAAAAAGCTAAGTTAATTAGTACTGTTATCTCAAATTGGAAATAAGTTTAAATGTTTTTGAAAATCTGGTAGAGAAAACAGGCATTTATAGAAGCTTTCGGAGTTGGAAATTAGTTATCTTCTTTTTTAATACAGACCAAAGATGAATTCAAGTACGCAAGTGAGTGTGCACGTGTTAAAAACAACATTCAGCTCATTTATTTTACCATCTGAAGATCATCAATCCTGGTATTGACACCAGAAGCCATTTCCTTCCGCTCCTGTGGTGTTTCTGGGCAGGGATAGAGGGAGGCCCGGAATCTGAAAGACATGCAAGCCACCTTAGCAACAAAACGGGAAGAAGATAAATCAGTCAGGCAAACAGATGGCTGAAAGAAACATAGGAATAAAGCAAGGAATGCCTTAAGAGGATCTCCTGATCAGCAATGATAGTGAAGCAGTTTCTGTCTTCAAATCAAATGGTCACAGAGGAGTTTGCTTTAGATCAAGAGTAGCTGAATGCTTCTTAAAACAAAAGTGAGCAAAACTCTTGATATTAAACAATTCTTTCTTAAGGAAATGGAAGAAAATCCTCTCTCCTCTGCAATGTCAGATGCTCAGTGGCACTGTTACGAAGTTGATTAGCAATCCCAATGCAGGGTGCTGCTACCATGCCAATGCAGCTGCTGTCTGAAGTAATGGGCTGCTGATCTCCCCTGGCAGAATACTGTTGGCTTTTCAAATGAAAGGTTCGTGTGAGAGTCGGTCTCAACACAAACTCAATTGCTTTTAGTGATTCCACAACAAAGCAAATATCAGCTTGGAGCACTACAGGCTTGGGGAGCAGCTCATTTGGCTGCAAAACATGTTTCAATTACTTATACCTGCTCCTGATGTCATTGTGAAATCAGGAGGTAAACAGGGATGTCAAGTAATTTCAGTCTGCATTTCAAATATCTGCAATTGCTCTTTCATGGTTACTGTGGATAGCAACATGTCCAACTGTAAGACATTAATTTCATACCCTTCACAGATCTTCTTGACTCTATTTTTCAGTTGGTCACCTTGGAAAAAGATGATAAACACAGACTTGTGCACATGATCCCCCTAGAACAGAAGAAAGCACAATGTAATAGCTCCACTTTATAAAGGTTAGCATTATAGCAAATTACAACAGAAATGGTTTTCTCTCCCTCTCAATCTGTTCAGATAAAAGTCCTGTCTGCACAATGAGTCAAGAATGGACTTTGCACCACTCACCCAGAACACAGTGTTTTTAGTCTCAGTCTTGAGGATCCCTATTACACTTGTGTTCACTGAAGCAAATGTTCCACAATATCCAATATCTAGTCTATGTAATACAATAAACAGGAAAATCTGAGCAACTCTCCAAAACAGTGAAGACGCAATGAAATGTGGATCATCACTTCTTGCTGGATTATGGAGGTGAACTGACTGCAGTAAGCTAAAGAGCAAATGAAAATAAGATGAAGCTGCACAACAACTTTGATTCTCCAGGGAAATTAAGGGCACATTCTTTGTACAGCTGTTTTCATGTTGGTAGCTAGCTCCCCTTTCCTGCATTTGTTAGCAAGTTATTGTTCCACCTTACTTAGGAAACTTTTGCATAATGTTTCAGGAATAATTACATTAGGTGTAACCTCAATTTAAGGAAGTGTTGCACAATAAGAACAACAACTCTCCCTTGCAGACTGATAATTTAACAAGTCAAATACCAGCAGTTGGTGGAACAAGGGAACAAATCAGCCTTATTCAAGAAACAAAGAAGAAGTTGTTGAATTTTTACACTTCTGTTTTTGTTCCGGTGAAGCCTGTAGCTTTCTTTTTATTTAAAGCACGAGTAATGGTTCCCAAAGTGCACTGTCTGTTGATTTGAGGTAATAGTAAAGAGGAAACAGTGCAAAAAAACAACATTTACCATTTGTATTAGTAGTAAGTCATCCCTCCGCTTTAATAAAAAAATAAGTCCAAGTCTAGAGCAAATGAACTGCAGATGTTACATACCCCTGATGTCCAAAAGAACCTGTCTTACTAGGATGCTTGTTCTTACTCAGGATTGCATACAGGAGTGGCACTGTGTGTTTGTGCCTGGGGAGCAACTACGTCACTCTGCAGTCCAAATTCAGAGTTGTTTAACAACACTTTTGACAGTGGTCATCACCCACCCTGCTATTTTTGTTTTAATAAACTGGAAAATTTTATCATTAAGGCCTCAGGCACTGCAAATAGGTACTGAGAAGCGTAATATAACGGAGCCCGCTGAGGGATAAAGGCTCAGAACTACAAGCAAAATCTTTCACTCATCTGAGACTTTTCCCTCTGTGAATGATGGTTCCTTTTACCGTTACAGGATCCTCCAGGGGGTTTTCAATTTCTGCTTGACGCAGGAACACGTTGCCTCGGCACACGCGCCACAGCATGCGCTCAAACGTAGGAATCCGCTCGCGGTTGATCACACCAGCCACGAACCTGTGAAGGGAACGCATAAATGTAAAGTCTGAGATGAGAGGTGTACATAGGCTGGTACCCAAAGCGCCAGTGCCTGCTGGAAAGCTACGAAAACCTTGTTTTAAATTAGTTCTTAAAACAAAGTGGGAAGTCTTATAAACAGACAGAAAAAAAACACGAGAGAAAGCACTGCACTACACCAAAAGCTATGAGTGTTTAACAGAGTGAGACTCAGTAACGCCACATACAGGTATTAAAAACAAAACACCAATCAAAGGAGAGGCAAACAGACAAGTTCTGCTACAGTTCATTTTAAGAGGTCCCTGGTAAGCTACATGCCAAGGGTTAGAGCAGGCTGCCCTAGGCATGATCATGCGCTAGGCATGACCTTCAAGACAACCTCACTGTTCCAAATCCTTGAGTCCACATAAGGAATTACAGGCACACACAGACGGCCTGGAAGTAGCTAATGAGGAGGGTATAGAATTATACAGATTATTTCTGAGTACTAAGTACACAGATTAATTACTGGATTCAAATAAAGCTGAGAACTCTCTGATTACCTGAAAGAGCACTAGGAAAGGTTTACAAGGAACAGACTCCTTGCACAGAGAGACACGTCTGAAGCACAAACAGGAACTGGAAACTTAACATATGTAGGACATGGATGGAGACCAAGAGGCAGTGTTAGAGCAGCCCTCGTGTGCTGGAAGCCCCAGACTGGGAATTCCACAGCAGCTCTGCTCCAAGCAGCAGGGACTGGCAGGCTGAACACTGGGCAGCAAGCGGACAAGAGCAAGGCACAAGTGTGAGCTGTCATTACCCGAGCCGTAGCGGGGCACCTCTTCCCATCTCGCTCGGCTCCAAGAGTGAAGAGGATTCCTCCAACAGGTCTGGATCCGCCATCTGCTGATGATGCAATTCAGCCTGAATTCACAAATCAATTAATATCTAATGAAACTAGTTAGTGGCATGCAGGGAATGAGGAACCAGGAGACAGTTGGGAAACGATAAAAGAAAAAGAAAAAGAAAGAAGGAAAGAACATAGAATAGTGGAAAGAAAGATTATATGAGCGAACAGAGAGCAAGATTCACACAAGGGAAAAAAACAAGAGGAAAAGTGAAATGGCTCAGCAAAGCTCCCATGAAAGAAAGGTCTCATGACTGCTGCAGCAGAACATGGGGGTGGGGTATGTATAAGTCTGAAGAAAGGCAGAATTCCAAAAAATTATCAAGTTTTAAATACAAGTCATGTTCCTAAGAAGCTTTTCTTTCAATGATACAGCGCAGACTGACAAGCCTTACTCTCACTAGTCCCTGAAAAAATAAATCAATAGACATGGAGATTCTCTCTTGCATTGTTTGTTAATTTTCTGCATCCTAGATGCAACAGGAATTTCTGAGATATTCTTGGATGTTACATTTGCATGTGAAATCATTCAGCAGGCTGTTCTACGCAGATAGGAAGGGTGTCCTGACCACCAATTACTATAGGTGGATAATTACCACCAGTTAATGAAGACGGGCACAGCCTGTACATGGTGGCCGTGTGCTGCGCTTCGAAGCGCAGGCAACACCTCGTGGGTTAGGGCTGCCAGCCTGACCCGTCCCACTTTGTGCCCACACTCACGTGGCGAGTGGTTAGGGCCACCTAAAAACCTCAGAGTCCTGCATGGCACCTGCCCTAGCTGGCAAAATTCTCCCTCTGAGGAAAACGCCCAATACTAAAGCGCACCCTTGCTGATTAAATCCACTATTTTTCCCAAATATCTAACCATATTCAATTTGCATGTCATTGCCAGACACATATAACATATATAGCTTAAGGCAATCTGGCTTTTTTTTTTTTCTTTTTACCCCAGAAATTAAAATGGGAAGCAGTTTATCTGTGATAATTTACAGGCTAAAATCCTTAAATTCTTGGGAACATAGCTTGTAAGCGCCAGCAATTGAAGGAGGATGTTCATACCACATCCTCGCTTGCCATGCTCATACTGCAGCCAGAAGCCTGTGTCATTTCTACCTCTGCAGCTTATATAATGAAATGAGGAAAACTAGAGAGTTCCTTAGCACAAACAGAGGACCAAATTCTACCCTCCGTGGTACCCAGGAGGCCTCCCCAACTGCAGCTGATACACTTGAAGGTAGAGTTTGACCCTAGAACACGCAAACCGTACAGACACGTGCACCACAGGCTTGCAAAAGCACATGGCAAGTTCAACAACTCAGCCGTAGTTTCTCTATTCACACAATAACCACCTAATAATTTCAGCAAAAAATCTCTAAAACATTTTACTTGCATGTCAAAGGAGAGCATTTACCACAGGCAAGGAGAGCTTTTGCAAAGCTGACATCAAATGCAGCTCAATTGCCTGCCCCTTCGCAGCTGACATAGCTTGCAGATGTTACAAAAGCAATGGAGCTCCAATTTATTTCAGAAAGCCAAAACAGAGAACTCTGATACTTTCAATTTTTCGTCAGCTTGTTACAACACCCAATAAACTAAATGAAAATTTCGCCTCATTTAAAATTTAAAACTAAAAAAAAAAAAAAACTGAAAAAAGAAAAGTTTTCTGCCTCAAAATTAAACATACAGATCAAACACTAATGATTATTTGATATCGAGATTTCAGGACACTGCAAGACAACGAGAAAAAGCTAATATTTTAAGAGGCTTGTATTGTATTTATCAATAGTCAAGATACTCTCCAGATGTTATTTTGCAACGTGTACATTAGACTAGTTGAAGTGTGCCTCGTTTTCACCAGATTTTAACACAAACCAAATGGTGCCACCTGTGAAAAGCTTTGCTCCACCTCACAGCAGCAGTTCTGCTCTACAACTGTTCTGGATTGCTGCACATAGCACATACAATTCAAGCCTCTTCCAGTTCACAGAAAGAAAACAAATTCCATTTTCACAAGAACTAAGAAAGATTTGCTTCACCATCTCATTTATTAATCCTGAGCCCAGGAGGAAGTGACAGATGCAAAACAAACAGGGAAAAAAAAAAAAAAAAGCAGATGGAGAAGAGGAAAGAGGAAAGAGAGACAAGGGACTGCATGCCATTAACCATTACTTTTCCAGTCTTCTTTTACATTCAGTCTAGGCTGCTTATGGCAAAACTTTCAGAGAAATCTCTCCAGCTCATACTGCTCTTTATAAGCAAAGACAAGAAGACTGAGAAAAGGATCATAATCATCAACATGGTATGCTGAGACAAGAAATGGCTACTTCCACTAGATTGCTCGTAAAAAGAACAAGTGAAAAAGCTCCCCCCAGCCCCCAGATGCCTGTGAGCACAGCAAATGCCATGCACAAGTAGCTGGAGTAGTAGGCCATTTCTTGTGCAATTTATTACTATGAACAGCACAATCTTAACTACACGTTACCCAAGTCTTCAAGTGTTGAAAGCACCGTGCAAAGAACGGCATGAAGAAATGAAGCCTACAACGCTTAGGGACTGCATGAGGCTCAGGATCTCCTATGTAGAGCTGTCCTCAGGATGAGGTAAAGCTGTTTTACAGTTTTAAAACTTTTGTTGAATTCATGCCTCAGAAGTTTGGTTTGCTTTTAAATACAGCAGCATGGCTTAGAACTTGCAAAATATTTTGGCTTACAATTATAGAAAAGAGTTACCAAACAAGAGGAGTTTGATACATAATTTTTCTCTGGCCAGAATGGTAAACTCACTGAGGTCTCAAACCAGAACACCATACGAGTGTGCATTGAGGTAATTGTTTCAGAAGAAAATGTATCTTGACCTTTAAGTTTAGTAGATTAGTACTGTATTTGAAAAGTAGCAGCTAATTCTCACCAGTGAGGATGAAAAAAGCAGAGAGCATTAACTGTACTTGTTCTGTTTCAGAGCTCAATTAGAACAGACAGACAATGGCACCTTAATGAAGCTGAGTAATAGATTACCAGGTTATCACTGTTTGTCCAGAGAGACCCACAAACTTGGAAGTGGACATTCAACACTTGAAGATAAGTTATTTGTAATGAACCCAGCCCCATCATAGATCACAGTAGCAATATCTATGCCAGCAGTGACTAAAACTTGTGCTGGCACAGAAACAATGTCAGGGCCCCAACAGACAGCAGCATCTTGTGCCAAAAATGACGGTTAGATAAATGGTCTGAAGCCTGCAGGAGCCCTGCTCTACTTGATTAAAGCATTTTGTAAATACTAGAACCAAACCCATTAGGAATTCTTGGATCAAATCCTTGGATTGGAGGGAACTGGTCATGTACTGGGCAAAAATATGTCCTTCTCCTTCTAAAAAACATGCAGTGAAGTTTTCTCGGAGCTTCTAGTTTGAAATTTCTAAGCTTTAAGATGAAGGATTGAGTTTCTTCTCCCATCCAGGCTCTGTGCCATTGTACCATGAACAGCATCAGAGAAGCTGGTCTTGGGTTGAGGGACAAAACACACAGTGCTCCTGCCATTTCCTGGCCTGTTTGGTATTGGATAAGATGTTGGAAGATTCTGAATGGCAAAGTTGCTCCCAAACTTACCTCTGAGAACTTCGGGGTTGATCAAAGGCTCAGTAAAACCAAAGAAGTCCATAAACTCCAATGGTTTTTGCATTGTGACTAAAACAAGGAACCTCTGTGTAACAGTTCAAAGGCTGAGGAGAAACTGTTTGATTCTAATGCCCATGTGTGAGGTATGACTCAGCTTATGTGCATATACACCAAAGAAACCCTTATCCATCGAAGAAAGGGCTCACTGTAGCCCCAAATTTTTGCTGTTGATGTATTTTAAGTACTAATGTCTTGTTTTGCAGTTTTCACACAAACCACTGATTAACTGAAAAAAAAAAGCTGTAAGATGTAAAGTAGCTATGTGTGCTGCATGAAAATGGCAAATAATTTATGAGGCTTCCTCAAGCAAAGTACAAAAAATGACCCTGCAATTCAAAATAGCAACTAAAAACACATTTGAGAATAAAATGGCAATTTGTGGGAGAAGAACCGGCTGCTTAAGTGCTAATCCGCCCTGGTATTCTGACCTCATCGAAGAACTGTTGAGTTTTGCGCAGTATAAATTTTAACTCTGTCAACTCCAAGAAGTTCCTCTTCAGAGCTTCCTGGTTTGTGTTGATTTCTTTAAGCTCATTTTCAATTTTCTCAAAGTTTGCCTGCAAGATGAAAAAAGAAGAAGAAAAGACACTTAAAGTAATTCTGTTAAGTGCTTTTAAATCTATTATAATAATATAGCAGACAAGATATTTGCATGGAATTATTGCACGCAATAATCCTGAATAAACTTTAACAGTTCCACCAATAAATCAGCAGCTCCAACAAATTGAGGGGAGTTTATGTTTTCACTTCTAAAAGTATTGGGCTAAGTGAGCAGGTAGATCTTAATGTTCATGTAGATGAGGGCAGCTAACATTTTGAGACAGCCGGGGAATATAAATCAGGCATCTTTAGCAATAAAGGCTACTGTTTATTTATTAATTTCCACTGCTTTCAGCTAGAATCAAGTACTATTGCAGTTTTGACACACATAATTACCTCCAAGTCAATCATGTCACGGGGAAATGGTACCTCTGGGTTTTCACCAGTGTCCATGATGGGAATATTTGCCTTTTTAATCTCCTTCTCCACAAACCCTGGAGAGATAACATAGTTAGTCTTAATGTTAACCAAAGACACAAACATCGAATTATCGCCACCGCGGCCTCCATCTAGCCTGCTCAGAGGCTTCCACCTCCAATCACAAGGTGGGCTCTTGGGGGTTAAAAGCTCCATTTCAGCAAATTTTGGAGCCCCAAACGGCTCCTGACCCACACGAGCAGAGCGGCCTTTGCCTCTTTGGCCCTGTGCTGCTCAGCAGGGGGTTTCGCTGCAGGCCCGGCCCGACGCCCCCGCCGCGGAGCGCGGCAGGGCGACGTACGCAGCTTTCGGTCCATCTCCTCGCAGCGCCGCACTTCATTGACGAACTTGCGCTGGAAGACGTTCACGTCCGGGTTGAGCTGCGGGGAGAAGCGGCTCCGCTGAGCGGGGGCGGCCCCGCCGCGGCGGCCCCGCGCCCGGCGCCGGTACTCACGTCGCGGAACTGGACCTTGCCCAGCTCGCCCAGCTCGCTCACGCAGCAGTAGGCGGCCTCGGACTGCAGGAAGAGCTGGGCCAGGGTCATCTCCTCGCTGCGGAACAGCTCCCCCATGGCGGCGACGCCCCCGCCGCGGCCTCTGCGGGAAGCGGCGGGGGGAGGCGGGGGCGCGGGCCCC